GCACGCACGCACGCACGCACGCACGCACGCACGCACGCACGCACGCACGCACGCACGCACGCACGCACGCACACACGCACACACACACACACACACACACACACACACACACACACACACGCATATATATTTAAATATATATTTGAATATATCAAATCTTAAATTTAATCAAGTAAATCTGCGTTAAACTTAAAATATGATATATATCATATCTCTCTTATTTATTAAATTTTAGAGATGCTTAATAAGAATTTTTTAATTTCAATGTTAAAAACTCTGCTGTACTTTAATACTCTCTTATTGATCATCAAAATAATAATCTTAGTTTATCCTGTAATAATATTTATAATATGAAAGAATATCATAGGTTTCTGGAACACTTATGTAGTACATATATATATATACATATACAAAGATAGCATCGTTGTATACAGTGAGAGTTAGAGTGCACTAGCGATTTTTCATGCAAAAAGAGCTTGATGGCGCCAAGCTCAAAATGCAAAATGCAAAAAATGTATCCTCGTACATTACATTTTCTCAAACTCGCGCTCGAAAATAAAATTTTAGAAGGAACGAACCTACGGTGTATACCTGGACGACATGTGACAATTGATTCCATATGCTCGGCATCTCTATAATATGAAATACGAAGGAAAAACATGTATCACATTAAAAGGTTTCACAATGATCTAAATGCCTTGTTACATCTAAGCAAACATCCCTGCATGCTAGCAGTGCGTAGGATGATTTGAAAATATTCCTTCTTTTTTATTCACCCTTCAGTAACATTTCTCTAGCTGAAAATCATTTCGAGCCTCTTTGTAAACATTCCCGCAGCTTTTTCGAATCTTTTATATGCACAGTTATACACATCCATATATATACAAACTCCACACGACGCGATAAATTTATAGAGGATGCTTGAGGATCGCCCGATGATAAACGTCCTACATATATGTATACATGCACTTTTCTCGGGCAAGAATAGTGCCAGGAAACGGTCGATTTTCGTGAGAACGATGCATGTTGCACGGCAGGCACATACGTCCGACAAATTGAGCAAGTTACACCTAGAAGGAATCTAGAAAAGATGTAAACTAGAAACAAAAACAGAGAGAGAGAGAGAGAGAGAGAGAGAGAGAGAGAGAGAGAGAGAGACAGAGAAAGAGAGAAGATAAAAAAACATTTCCATGCTGTGCTAAAAAATATCATTTAATCCTCATAATCGATCAATCATCGATCAATTATCGATTTAGCCTCTTAGCAAGACTCAACAATCATGTATGAGATGCAGAAATAAAAATAAATTAATTAATAAACGTAATTCGGTAACTATGGTTATAGAATTAATGTTTCTTGTTGTATCCAATTATTTATTACCTATTGCGAAACAAATGTTTTTAGTAAATACTTTCGTGATAAAAATGCAAAACAATTAAGTATAATTATCTCTGTATTTATTCATATGTAACATATGCAAAATTCTTTGATTAAGTATTAACAATATATATCATTGTAATAATATACGTCAATAATCCTAAAAAACTGACAAATGTCTGTGTAATCTTTAATAATATTGTCTAAGAAAATCATCTACTTATAACAATTTATAAACATGCGAATTTTATATTGTGAGACTATCAGATATAAAATAATTAAAATAATAATAAGTTTTTGGATTACAAAGAAGCTTATTAAAGAACTAATTAAAGCCACTAGAATGGCTAATTTATGTATTTCAATTTTTGTGCTAACATCAACTAATCTAGAAATGTTCGAAAGAACTATCCAAGATCAAGAAACGTTAACATGTTCCACTTAGTGCTCTAGTATAATCGATATTTTTACAGAGGAGAGCGACATCTTGAATTCTTCACAAAAAAATATCTTAAAATATCGACGTAAAAAAGAAAATAAAGATAAGATATTATAAAGATTATGCGTTTCGCGGATTTTCTCTGTATCCAGATCCATTCCTGGAATGCCAACATAAGATTGTTTTTGTATAACTTGTTAGAACAATTTGTTTAATATACCAAAATCTGTCAATTATTATAATTTTAATTACATTTTTTTATTTGATTTAGCTCGAAGGAAAGATATAGCTCAAAATAATATCTTGAAAATAATATATTGAAAATATAATCGTCGCCTTCTCCATGACACTGATTAGTTGTCATCGCGCACAAAATTCAAGTCAATGATGAATATTGGCAGATTGACATTCAGCAGTTAACTGAATACTGAGAACGATCGATAAAGAGCAAATAAAATATTATATAAAATATTAAATGTCATGTAAAATAAAATATTGGAAATAACAAGTATAGAAGATTTGTATTACAGTGAATAATAAAATATGTATGTGTCGAACTTGTTTTTGCTTCAGTTCTCTATGGTATATCCTCAAAGTTTTATGATCAATTATCAACTATAGATTATAGTAACAAAAAATTTAATTACTGAATTATAATTGTTCATTTCTTCAAGTTTAACAATTCTTACCCGCTCTCAATATTCAGTATTGACAGCATGTTGATATGTAACTAAATAATCTTTGATATCTGCAAATATTTTAAAATTACTTAAAAATATGACTTGTAATAATAATAGAAACAGAATCATATAATTTTATTTATACTTGTAATAAAAATTGTATTAATTAATTATCATTTATATCGCTAATGATTCATATCGCTGCTTTAAATGATTAAAGGGAAAAAAATATCCATTAGATTAGGAGTCGGCAAAATTTGCACTTCTCGGCCGATTTTCGAGAGATTCCGTCTTCCGCTACTCCTCTCACCGTTCGCCCCGCACGCAGTCCAAATGTCGCTCGATGTTTAGGAGCGTTACGTTCAAAGATATGCATGGGGCATTCGCTTTGGGCGCTCACGCTGTAAACTTCATTCTATCTTTTTTTCGCTTATTATATAATTAAGACAGAATGAAGTAATGAGTAAGTGTTCAAAATGAATAAATTCAATGAATTTTCTACGTAATTTTTATTAATGGACTAGGCCTATTAAGAATATCACTTAAAAAAAACGTATCAAAAATAGTACTTCAAGAGGGACATGGAAAACAATTGAAAATTCATTGGATTCGTTTTGAGCGCTTATCTATTGCTTCATTCTGCCTTAATTATATAATGAGTGAAAAAAAGATAGAAGTTTACAGGGCGTGTCCAAAGCGAGTGTCCTGTGCACTTCATGTCTTTGAACGTTAGACGCTAACGTGGAGCGGCATTTGGACTGTGCGCGGGGCGAGCGGTGAGAAGAGTAGCGGGAGGCGGAATCTCTCGAAATTCGGCCGAGAAGTGCAAATTTTGCCGAGCCCTGCATTAGATACTAAAAATAATGTTCCTAACATAAAAAGTATTTAAAAATTTGGCGCTTATGTCATTGATTTTAAATGTTATAGGATAATTATCTCAAATATCTCTATGTTACATAGACGAAATTCATGATTGTCGCTCGCCGCCAAGATTACCAACATTTGTCCTCGAGAAAGAGAACATCTAACTTCTTACGACAAATGCGAGCATAAATCTATTCAAAAAAGAGGATGACAAAGAGCGGCACGGATACGGTGCGGACTGTGGGAAAATCGACAAATAGGGCAAATAGAAAACGAAGAAGAATCAGAGGATTGTATGGAATCGAACATGGATCGTAAAGGGGGTTGGAAATGTGAATGTTTCGCAACCTTGCCCATATGGGGGTGCGAAGTTTCCGTTTCTGGGTTACCACCGTATGGCCCTGTGGTCCATCTGGGTCCAAGCCGGCCCCTAGGGATGAAGACGTCAGGCCCGCCCCCCTACGTGATGACCGAGCGCACTCATTCCCGCCTGAACTCACCCTGCGGTAGTGCTTGTTAGTTCATGTGTAAAAAAGATTAAAATACAAAATTACAGTGTTTAATTTTTTTTATATTTCTTTTTCTCTTTTTATTTCATGTGTTTTTTTTAATATTATGGCTATAGTATCGCACTGCGTTCTCATCGACGATTCTTGTCTTTCACGTTGCAATAAATCTAGGAATTTGTTGCAATAAAGCTAGTTAGAATAAAATAAGATATTACTCGATGCGTCGTGCTTCATGGCTGCACAGTATCGCTGAAAATAAAGGATAATAAAGGAATGCGAGATATATATAAGCGAGTTAATCACATTTCCTTTGTATACACGATTTATTACAATTGTGTGAGTAAAAAATTAGAAAAGAGATCAAGCATTTAGCTTCAATTTCGAAATCTTCAACTCGATTTTTTTCATAATCTTCGGGAGATGTATATAAAGATGATACGGAGAGATATATATATATAAAGATGCAAGTACATCACGCATTTGATGTATGTATATGTCGCACATATCATTGTACAGTAGCATCATTGAAATTGATAATTTCCTCCGATCGTACACATTATATCTATATATATTATTAAAAAAAAAAAAAAGAGTGATGGCAAAAAGAGTGATGGCAAAAAGGCTGTTTTTTTTTAGACCTCAAATTTCAAACTTTTTTTATGCCAAATGGTACTATATGGTACTATATGGTAACATTAATCTTAGAGAAATTTTAAGATGAGTATAGACGATTCCGGAGACACGAAGGAATGAAAGTGATGGTTTTTCATAACCTTTTTCATAACCAAATGAAAGGATATAAAACTCTTCAAGTGTCCATACCAAGGAATAAAATGTATATTTTGAACATATCACTTTTTTATGAATTTTTTTGCGCCGGATTTAAATATGACCTTAGTTTTCGTCTAGCATGAAAATTCCCCGAGATAGATGGAGTTGAAAAGTGATATTTGATGTCTCTCACAGATCGGGGTGCTTTTTTAATGTGAGTCCCTTTGCCTCTCACTATGAGTTGTTTTGTGAATCGTGATAGATACATTGCATATTTCAGGATTGGATATTTTTATCCCATGGTATTGAGCAAATCCAAGGAATCACACAATTGTCATTACATGACTACAACAATTCGCAATCCGAGCACCACTTTCACAAATACAATAGTACTCACGAATAAAATCCCGTTCAGTTTTTGCTTTATCTGTCAAAATAAAAATGTAGTGACACGGTAACGAGCTTTCATATGCGCCTCAATTAATATAGCTTCTTCAACAGAGATGCCATACTTCTCATAGTTCAAAATTGCTGACTGATGAGTGCTTCGGCCTTGGATTGAACTTCTGCACCAAAAAATGATCCATTTGACAAAATATACTCTCATGTTATTAACTTCAGTCACACATTCTTCCTTATGCAATACACCCTGACTGGAAATCATCACTTTTATCCTTCTTGTATCTCCGGAAACGTGCCTATGTTCATCTTTAAATTTTACTGGGATTAATGTTTCATCTAATAGTACTAATTGGCCATAAAAAAAAAGTTTGAAATTCGAGGTTCAAAAAATAGACGAAATTTGCCATCATTCTTTACTTCCGTTATATGTAATGGAAGCAAGGACGGATAGAGTATAATTTCTGGCCTGGGAAACTATCAAATTCGGCTGGCCCTGATCAAAATCTCTTGTAAAGAAATAGGGGGGGGGGGGATAAAATTCCATAATATATTAAAAAGGAACATCTTTTAATAAATAAACAAAATAAACTTTTCTCTTTAGTATAAAATTAAAATAAATCATAATATAAATAATAAGGAACAAAAAGTATTATTAAAATAAAGTATTGCCACAACTTAATAAATTAAAGCTTTTTCAGTAAAATACTTTGCATTGTTAGACTTAATAATTTCACGATCAATTATCAATTCCATTTATTGGGAGTACAAATTAGTTCGATCCGTTTTTTTGTGTTCAAAAATTTATTCAAAACAAAATGAATGAACATATCAATTAAAGTATTGTCCATCGCTGCCTACTACTTTTTCCCATCTCTCAGGTAATTTTCGAATTCCATCTCGAAAATATAACTTATCTTTGGAAACAATCCAATTTTGGAACCAATTTTCAATTTCTGCGAAAGAAGTGAACCAGTGACTTGCTGCATCCTTCGGAACAGTAATCAGAAGGAGCAATCCGGAGAATACAGCGGATGCGGTAAAATATCCCATTTGAGCGTTTCCAAATATATTTATATTTCAAATATTTTTTTACGACTTTAGCGACATGAGGCCGAGCGTTGTCATGAAGAAGAATAATCATGTCTTTGCTTGTATTCCGGTCATTTTTCTCGCAATGCACGGCTCAAACGAATCAATTGTAGCCGATACCGATCGCCCGTAATGGAATCGCCAGGTTTCAGTAGCTCATAGTAAACAAGATCCTTTTGATCCCACCAGATACAGAGCATGATCTTCGAACCATAAATGTTCGGCCGTGATGTTGATGTTGAGGTCAATGGCAATTGACCGGCTTAGCGTAATATTTTTTCTTCTTGGGTTTTCTTCTGAGGTTGTCGTAGAATATCCACTTCTCATCTCCAGTCACAATCCGATGCAAAAAACCTTTTCTCTATTGTCTTTGAATCAGCTGTTCGCAAGTGAAAAATCGCCTTTCAACGTCTTTCGGTTTCAGTTTAGCATAAAGCACTCAATTTCCTTGAATCATTCCCATGGCTCTCAATCGTACAGAAACGGCTTGTTGAGTTACCCCCAATGATTCTGCTCCTCTTGCGTTTGACTCTGATCTTCTTCGAATAATGCTCCTAATTCTTTGTCTTCGAATTTTTTTGGCTATCCAGAGCGAGGCTTGTCTTCAACGTTGAAATCTCCATCCTTAAAACGTCGAAACCATTCCCTACATGATTTATCAGTTGGAGCAGTGTGTCACCATAAACTTCGACAAGCATTCGGTGGGCTTCAGCCGCACTTTTCTTCCAATTAAAGCAGAAAATCTCCCGTAAATGCTGCTTGGTTAACACAAAATTCGACATTTCAAACACAATAAAAATCAAGGTTTTTGTATGAAACTCAAAGCGATAAACTGAATATTATTAGCAGATGTTTAACCTCTCTGAAACCGCCAAAATCAGCTGTCACTATGAACCATTCACAACACTGGAGCTATCTTTAGAGAAATGGACCGAACTAATTTGTACTCCCAATAAAATTGATTTTTCTATGTTCATAATCATAAAAGATTTCAGTCGGTTATAGGTCAATTTACTTCTTAATTTATTTTTTATGTACTTAAGAATCGAGAATGATCTCTCATATTCTATTTGTAATATTGTTAAAAGATACTGATATGCTATAGCAAGTGCAGAATACGCTCCCTGAAACTTTGTACTTTAAAATTATTGCAGCATTTTGCACAATTTTTGCAACTCTTGCAAGTATTTTTTCTTTTTTCCATACTATAAATTTTAGCATCATGAACCTCTGAACATAGTCTAAATTATCAATATTATCCGTGTCATCTAAATCTGGATCATAATTTATTTTATACATATCTTCCAAAATTAATTTCAATTTTTCCCAGTTTATTATAAAACTTACAAGTTCCTCTTTGAAGAAGTTGCAGAAGAATTGTACTTTATTATTTTTGCGGACAAATAATTCATGCAGTTGATAGATTTTCTTGTGTATTTCTTCAAAATGATTAAGATCTAATAATAATTGCTAAATCCCTACATATTCATATTTTTCAAAAATCTTTTGTTCATAGCTTCAACGGCAGTATCCATTAATACATTAAACGTAAATATTTTAAATTTTTCTTCTGCAGTTTATCGTCGTTCATCAGATGCTTTTTCGTCAAAAAATTTTTTTACACTTCTTCGATACATTTCAAAGAATTGTTCTTGAATGTCTGCATCTATATTTCTTGAATAGAATTCTGATTTAGCCCATTCTATAAATACTTTTGGATAGAGATAAAGTCACTCTCTGAATAGATCTAATAGCAGAATAGATCTTAATCATATGATTTAAGTAGGTCTAAATCTTTGGTCTGCAAATATCTTGATAAAGAACCAGTTATACTAAAAATTTTTAAAAATATTTCCGTCATTATTATTCTCGATGGTCGTAGTTCATCGAGAATATAATTTTTAGCTATAGTTTTTAGCTATAGTTTTGGTTTCAGGATTAATTTTAATGTTATTTTCAATTCTTTGTAAAGTGTCAATGACATCAATATATAAACTATTTTTTTGAGTTTATTAAGCTCTCCATTTTTTTTAATGCTTGGCCCACAACGAGTTGCGCTAATACTCTGTACTTTCTATATTATTTGAGATCATAAGAAATGGATTCCCAAATGTTCATGCGTTGATTCTTTCAAAAAGGAGGATATCGAATTTAATGAATAAACTGAAGCAGTCTTGATGTTTGCTTTCAGCACATCATAAAACACTAGATTTAAAATATGGCTATAATACCAAATATGCACATAGTCTGAGTTGTGAATTTGTAGTTTCGTAGAAAAGCCATTGTATTCGTCTTGCATATTGGTCACACTGTCTATTGAATTTGCAATATAATTTTGGAGACTTAAACCATTGCTTTGTAGTACGTTTAATATGTACTCGTAGTTTCAAAATCTTTTTCAATTGTATTGACACATTGAACCACAGAAAATAATTGTTCGATAATATTTCCCATATACACATACCTGCAATAAATTAAATAAGTGAAATTTGAATATTACAATAATATTACAATAATATATAATACATTTTAAATAATATATAATATATTTCACATTACCTTATCACAATCGAACATTGCTCTCTTGTGGAAATATAATATCTTGCGTATATAAAATCTATTTCAATGGAGAACATTCTGGCTTCTAATATTTCCTCTGATTATTTTTTCTTTTATCATTTCTGTTATAATAGAAATTAGTGAATTTAAAGTTGTTTTTGATAAAAATTAGAAAATAAAAAATTAAAAATTAAAAAATTGCCAGTTCGTTGTATATTCCCTTTTTCATGTGCTTTTTTGCTGCGTCTGATGATTATATCCAGATGTTTATTTTAAATCGTGTCATATTTATTGTAAATAACAACAAGATAATTTCTAGGAAATTTCCATGGTATATTTTCATTTCTATATTTTCATTTTCTAACGAATATGCAGCCTCATTTAAATTTTCTCTGTAAGAAAAGCCTGTCTTACCAATGAATTTGACGTTAATAATAATATCTAATATTCTTGAGATTTCCATAAGTCCTTTCTATATAAAGATTATAAACCCGTTTCGCGGGTTTTTTTCGTGTCCAGATCCATTCTTGGAATGCCAACGTTTTGTGAACCTTGCAGTTCACTTCATCAGAGCAAGGAGCAGCCTGATTCCTGATGATTCTACTTTCTCCGAAATCTCTTTTCCTTTTTCGCTATCAGAACTTATTTTTCACAGATTCTTTAAAAGAATCATTAATATCAGTAGATCGTATTTCCTCGTTAGTTTCTTTGCTTTTTTTTTGCTTTTTTCAACTCTAGCAGTATCTAAGGATTCTAAGGCATTACAGATCGAAGAAAAATCGCTTTTCTCATTTTCAGATATTGGGGTTTTAGAAAACATATTTGTTAAAGTTATACATGATTTTGCTTTATCCATCATTCTTCGCTTTTTTCTTTTCCTTTCTTTCTTAGCACCTTTGGCTTTAGTTTTAGAGCTTCCTTTATTTTTGTCCACTATTACTATTGAAACAGTTTAACACGTGTTAATAAAGGTCGATAAAGTAGAGAGCGAGAGAGTGTCGAGTGTGTCGACTGGCAAGGAGATCGAGGTTGAGCGATTGCAATATGTGATGCCAAACTGTTCATGACTATTCAAGTGACGAATGGCGCTTAGAAAAGATTAGAATGACAGTGACACAAGTTGCGGTTTTTATCTTCTTGTTATTGCCGTTCTAACTTTTTCGAGCTCATGCGCCGCGACCCAATCAGAGCACGATTCAGATCACATAATGAATTGGCGACTCTCTTATTATAGGCTAATTTTCTAATTTTCATAAGTATGCCCTCTCGAAAAAGAACGCAACGCGAAAATTATAATAAACTAAATTTATTTATATTATTAATGTGTTTATTAAAAATAAATCATAATCCATGGGGACAGTGGGGTCGTGGAGTGTGCCGGTGTGCGGACAGTAACCTTGGGTTCGGGGCTACGACGATTTTGGCATTCACGTTTCGCGCAATTCCGTCTCGGGCTGGTCTGGATCGGCCCGAATCTGACCGACCCTTCGGGATTTTTCCCAACTTCCCGACCGTCCCATCCGTGCCTGAATGAAAGCAAATTTCTTTTTTTTTAATAGCGTATAGATATGATGTGTACGATCGGAGAAAACTATAAATTTCAAGCCGGAAGGCATTAATGATCTACAGTGCGCTTAAAACAAATGACATATCATAGATAGAAATTTTTCAAGCAATGTTAAAAAAATGAAATAAAAATTTTGTGTTCATTTAACAAATAAAATATAATTTTAAGCATAAAAACGCATGTTTTAATTGAAATTATTAGGCATAGAAATTTGTAGAAATTTTAAAATCATACGATTCAGTTATAATTAACGTAAGAGGTCGAAATAATAAATAATCAGAAGTAGTGGATACAGTGCGCTTAATTCAAACTTTATGAAATGCATAAAACGAACTGTAATAACACGTAAAACTGTAGAAGCCAAAATTCATTTGTGAAGAGTGAACTTACAACCCCTGATTTACGAGATCAGTGATCACCATAAACTAAAGAGACGTCGATGTCAATTTCTCTCAGACAAATCCACAGGAAGAATCCTGCAGGGATCCCAAGAAAAATCCTGATGAATCGTTGTAGATAATGTTACGTGCGATTTGTCGAAGCTAGAAAACACATCGATTCTCTAATGTCGCATTCGAAGATTTATCGCTTATACGCCTTATAGAATTGATCCCTTATAAGGAAATAGCCTTTGTCCTTCATGATTAGCTAAATCTTTGATCGTTCAATAATTGAACAGGGGTTATGAGTTTCATCCGACACGACGCATCGCGGAAACGAAAAGTTCTCAATGTTCTCATTTCGAAATTGATATGAAACATTGAATTTCAGTTGTACTTAGCAAATGGGAAGGAATATCGTATTGAAAGTGATGATTTCATAATAAGTAACAAAATAGATAGTTAATATTGTCAAATTTGCCAATAATTAATATAGTCAACTGCAAACATCGTGTTTCGTGAAACAACCGAATCAATCAACAATTATTAATCATGTAAAATGTGAAAACAATTGACTATACATATGCGTTCATGTATGATCGACATCCAAATACTACCGCATTAATAAATTATATTATTTGATATAGCAATATATTATACTATTAATCTTATTTTTGTCAGATATTCGACACCTATGATATAGACAATGTCTACAAAAAAAATTTATTATTAACCGCAAGATTTAGTATAGTGAAATCATTATATAGAATGCTGTCAGTACCTGCAAATTTTGACAAAAAAAACAGGAATACTTAAAATAGTTACAAATTATGATTAGTTCAGAGACTATTGCTTTCCATTCGCGTATATGAGAGGTTTGAAATTATCACTCGAAAAGAAACTTACTTGGTCTCATCGATAAAAACAGCTTCGAGTACGCGAGCTGCGTAATGCAAATTTCGTTGAAGTAATTCGGCGGATATTTCTCCATGTTGTAATTGTCTCAATAAACACCTCAATCTGCAAAAGAGAGATATCACGGAGTCGTTTCCTGTCAATAGCGTGTCTTTTAACTAAATGTTTATTTTCAATAGCTTTCCAATAATTACACGACAAATCGGGATTGTGAATGCAATTCACAAAAATCTATTTAGTCCTTGGAGAAAGAATCAAAAGAATATTTTCTTTGATGTGCGATTCTAATCTTACATCTTTAAATACAAAATATTTAGCGTGCGATAGTTACAAATATCTTACAAATAAATCATAATTAACATACAATTGATAATTAAAATTATACATGATTGCTAAATTTAACAAGCTGATAAATAGTTATCATATTATTTATATTATATAATACTAGGTGTACAACTTTGCTTCCACCGTTTTCCTAGATGGCTTTAGCGGTAAGTGGTGGTCGAAATAAATAGATCATAGACGTCATACAATACAATAAACTTGGACATCTGTCAACATAACCCCATAGAAACATTAGTCGATTTGTGTCTGCATAAAGTTATTCTCGATTGAAAATGTCAGTTTACGAGCCAAATTCTCGTCATTTGCGGGAGGTTTTAATTTTTTGTTTCAGTATGAAGAAATTTGCGGCTGAAGCTCATCGAATGCTCTCAAATATTGGTGAGGCCGCTATTAGTAAAAGAACGTGTCGTGAGTGGTTTCAACGCTTCAAGAATGGTGATTTTAACATTCAAGGTCATGCTCTGTATTTGGTAGGACCAGCTCGGCGTAGTGTGAACTGTTAAAACCGACTGAAACAATCATAGGCGATCGATATCGAACGCAATTGATGCGTTTGAACCGAGCATTGAAAGACAAACGGCCGCAATACAATGAGAGACACGATAAAGTGATTTTGCAGCATGACAATGCTCGACCCTATGTTGCGAAAGTGGTCAAGACATACTTGGAAACGTTGAAATGGGAAGTCCCCACCCGCCGTATTCTCCAGACGTTGCTCGCTCTGACTATCACTTGTTTCGATCAATGGCACACGGCCTGGCTGACTTCCGGTCTTATGAAGAAGTAAAAAATTGAATCGATTCGTGGATAGATTCAAAAGATGACCAGTTTTTTCGACGCGGGATTCGTACGCTACCCGAAAGATGGGAGAAAGTAGTGGCCAGCGATGGACAATACTTTGAACCATAAATGTATAACCAGTTTTTTACAATAAAGAATTTCGGAAAAAAAAACAGCGGAAGCAAAGTTGTACACCTAATATATATAATTTATAAATCATAATTGCTAATAATTGCGATATATTAGCGCTCGAATATTATAAAAATGTATTCTAATAATGATTATTCAATACGAAACGTTGATATATAAATTATAATTGCGTAAAGAAGCACGGCAGTGTCTCACGCTTCGTTTGTTTTAGCGCCACTACCATGTCTCCAGATATGCTGTGCATTAATGATCAGAAAATTACGGATTATCTATGTCCAATATTAATAAATCCCCTAGATCTAAAATATTATATTAGCAAAACTATTAACATTAGCATAACATTACATTGTATTATAATAGAATACCTAAGGGCAGCTTTATCGCATGCATCGGGTGTGTCAATGGCAGGAAGCGAATCCGTCGTGAGATCGACATTATCGAGAATCTCTTCAAGGTCAACGGATTGACTCGATAGACACGAAGTATCAAGATTGCGCGGTGGTGAATTTTCAAAATTTCCACCGCTTTTGCTTTTGCTGGAACTTCGACGTACTATCGTCAAGGTGCCCTGTTCTGAAATAAAATAACCGCTTCCATTAATGCGATAGAATGTGGAAAGATATATTGAATCATTAAAAAAAATCTTAATAATAGAATCCGACATATTATAGAAAGTGACTCGGACTATTTTAAAAAATAAAATAGGAAAAATTTTACCAAAGTTCTATATATAATTAATTATCTTTAATTCTATAATAATATATTGTAATATACAAAATATTCAAATACAAAATATTCAAAAAAATCGGGATCCTGGATTTAAAAATTCGGGATGACATTTATGAAAAAAACAAAACAGACAAAACTTGTAAGATATAAAAAGATTTATTTACAGATTTTATCAGTTTGACCTTGACTGGCGCTGTCAAGATCAGATCAAGATCAACTTGATTTTTTTAAATAGGACATCCTTTTTGTCCACTAAAGTGTCCGCATGAGATCCCACAAACGATATTCGTAGGATATCCAAGGAACTCTAGAAAATATCACAAATATATACGTGTGTGTGTGTGTGTGTGTGTGTGTGTGTGTGTGTGCGTGTGTGTGTGTGTGTGTGTGGGGTGTGTGTGTGTGTGTGTGTGTGTGTGTATATTTGCACACATATACGTATATATTTATGATAAAATTGTTTATTTTCTTCTCAAAAAACTCTAAGAATTTTTCTAAAATTTTTTCAGATTTTTTTAATACTGTATTTTCTCATGTTAAAAATAAGACAATGCAGTACTAAAAAGTTGATAAAAAGTTCTAAAAAAATATTTAGAGCTGTATAAGAAGGAAACAATTTTTGTTTCTTCCAGTTTTTAAAGTTGACAGTATTTGAGTAAAAAATTGACCAATTTTCGGTAATTTTTAGCAATTAATATCTTGTTAACTATTGCGAAAATTACAAAATAGAGGACTTTTCTTCTCAGTTTAATCCATTCTACTCCTGTGCGTAAGATTTATCGTTACTTTTAGAACATCCTGTTTATTATTCAAAAAAATTATGACATAGAAAAATTTTAAGCAAAAATTGGTCAACTTTGATTGACAATAACTTTGTGAAAAATTATCGTAGGATAATGATTTTTCCGTCTATTTCATTATTACGAGAAGGATATTCCGTCAAATTTTGCAATTTTCAATATGACAAGCACAACCTCACTTTTATAAGTTACAATGGTAGGGGTACATTAAACTTAAAATCTGATCATAGCGTCTTAAAGGAGAATTCAATTAAAAAAAAAAATCGTTATCCTACGATAATTTGTAACAAAGTTATTGTTAGTCAAAATTATCAGCTAATTTACGTAAATTTTTCTTCATAATTATTTTGAACATATTGTATGTTCACTTATATGTAAGGCAAAGTCCTATAGTATCGACCACCTTAAGTTTTTGTAAAATATTGAGTTGTCCGAAAAGTTCGTACCGACTAACCTATATAATTTAATAAATATATACTAAAATTTAAATTTTCTGCGTTTCAATTTTTCTCCAACATCAGCACGAACTTTCCGGACAACCCAATATTTTAGGCTAGAAAATTAACGAAAATTTAAAAAAATTATTTTTAGTTCATGCTTAAAAGACGAAAGTCATTTTATTAAAATGTGTGTACAAAGGATGATAATTAGCAAAAAAGAAAAGATTAGAATATGAGATATGATTGGAGAAAAATCGTTCTGTAATATCGACCAGCTATAAGTTCATTTTTGGTAAAAATGTCTAATAATGTAATGAAAAGTTATTTGAATTGTAGAATTGTAGATAAAAGTTAAATGAACATATCTTATTTTTATTTTAATTACTAATAGATAAACTCTTAAACTGTAACATCGATCTTATAGATCAATATTAAAACTTAACATGTAAAAAGCTTTCTTGATATCAATACGAACAAAAAAAGAAGAAAATAGATTGAGAAGGATATGAAAAAGGATGTAAAACAACAAACTGATAAGAAAGTAATACAAAAACGAGCTACTGCTATTTACACATTTTAAGTCTTATTTACTGGTGTGTTATATTCTTAGATTAGATTGTTACGTCATGTTATCTCCATAAATATAATTTTACTTTCTTTTTTTTGTTTTTTCGTTCGGCGCTGAATTATTTTTTGTTATTTAATATCACATCGTCTATCTAAAGTATTTCTATAAATTAATTGCGGATATTCCTAGCGAGAAACTTATTCGGCGTGATATGATTTTGTGACACCGCATGACACATGTGTCGCGTGAGCCAATCAAAACACCCAATAAGTGCTTGCAGTGAGGAGCGTGCCGCATGCCGATGTATTGCGACGAAATTCCAGACAGAATAACTTCACGCGGAGTTAAGGAATCATTTCTACATTTGAGATTGTCATTATCATCCTGGTTTAAGAAAAATTAATCCGATCAAACCTCAACGCCTAATCTCTCAGAATAAGAATAAGCTATCGCGTACTAATCACGACTCGCGTATGTCGCTCGTCGTTCCAAATCTTTTGTGTTCTGGCCGAGATTGTCGAAAATACTGTTAATTTCAAAGATTCGCATTATATTTCATACATTTTTGTGTGTTGTTTAATTTACTATCTTGGCCATCGTGATCGCTTTAATTAGTCTGAAACAGATAAGTAAACGTGAATTTGTCGCGTTAGCGTCGACCAATTGAGAGCCAGGAAGCAGCGCGGACCACAGAAAAAGGCCCAAAATTTAATTCGTTAATTACTTTAAATTCAATTAATGCGAACCTAATTTGATTCTTCTAAATTGAATTCGTGGCAACCGTGCCGAATTTTAGTGCCCAATGTAACTAATATTTCCATATGAAAAATCATTTTTCAAATTCGGCACATATTACCAATTCCGGGAAATTCGAATTCTCCCTTCCTCTCGACTCGCGAGGTGCATTGACTAGCACCTATATAAACGGGGCAAAAATCGAGCTCGCAGTCATTTTTGATCGGATCAATCTGATGGATAAATCAGAACTACAAGCGAAAAAAAACTACAATCAAAAAAAAAGAAGAAAGTACTCATGTGATTTCTTTCAAGCAATCTCCTTTCTCTTACCCCTCGGATGCTTGGTGGCGCTTGTAGGAACTGCTTAGTCTATCCTCCCCTCTCGAAATTGACCGCGTTTGTAGGAACTACTCAATTTTTCCTTTCACCACTACCTGCTTCCTCTACAATTTCTAATTCTGCTTCTTTAATGCAATTATTCAACTAATCGCGTCGGTAATACAGAGTACAAATAAGTTTCCACCGTTTGCAAAAGACGGCGTCACTAATAAACTATAGTTAAAATTGTTTGAAGTAAAACGACATATCGTAAGATTGGACCATCCGGCAACACCATAACCTTGAAATATTAGCGATTTTGTATCAGCATCATATATTTTTTTTTGTACGAAAATGTCAAGTTTTGAGCCGAATAAGCGTCATTTGCGGGAACTTTTGATTTATTTCTTTAATTTGAAGAAATCTGCAGCTGAGGCTCATAGATTGCTTGTAGAAGCATATGATGATGTTGCCTTAAGTGAGAGAAGTTGTCGTGAGTAGTTTCAAAAGTTTAAGAACGGTGAATTTGACGTCGAAGACGAAGAACGTAGCGAAAGACCGAAAGTATACGAAGACGCGGAATTGGAAGCATTATTGGATGAAGATTCGTGTCAAACGCAAAAAGAACTTGCACTTACATTAGGAGTGACTCAACAAACAATTTCATATCGTTTGAAATTATTGAGAATGATTCAAAAGAGAGGGAATTGAGTTCCATATGAACTGAAGCCGAGAAATATTGAACGCTGATTTTTCACATGTGAAATGCTGCTTGCCAGGCATAAACGAAAGGTTTTTTGCATCGTATAATCACTGGTAATGAAAAATGGATCCACTACGACCAACATCAATAGCCAAGCCGAATATTCATGGAAAAAAACTCATGTTGTGTATTTAGTGGGATCAGCTTGGTGTCGTGTATTATGAGTTGCTCAAACCGAACGAGACCATTACTGGGGCTCCGAATACAATTGATGAGATTGAGCCGAGCACTCAAAGAAAAACGCGCCCATTACTACTCCAGACAAAATTATTCTCCTGCATGATAATGCTCGATCACATGTTGCGACGCCGGTCAAAACCTTAGAAACACTCAAATGGGAAGTTCTACTCCACCCGCCGTATTCTCCAGACATTGCTCCCTCCGACTACCACTTGTTCCAATCGATGAACTTGTTCGATCGCATGTCTGAGCAGTACTTCACATCATATGAAGATATCAAAAATTGTATCGATGATTGGATAGCTTCAAAAGATGAAGTATTCTTCCGACGCAGTATCCACATGCTACCAGAAAGGTAGCAAGAAGAAATGGAAAAAAATAATGGCTAGCGATGGCCATTACTTTGAATAAAACATTAAGTACCGTTCTTTTACAATAAATGCTTAATTTTTGATAAAAAACGGCGGAAACTTATTTGTACTCCCAATAATAAAAACACTTCCCATATAATGACTAAAAGAGAAAACCGCGCAAGAAGAGAGGTTCAGACTCTATGTATTTAAAGACTGAGGCCATTAGGGATTTCGACCTGTCAATCTTTCCATCAAATTCGCTCACACCCGCAGCCCCCATCAAATTCGAGAACTCCCAAACGAGGTATATCGAGCTACCGTGCCTGGTTAGGAAATCTCGTGAATCGCTGACCGCCGAGCAGCGGAACACCAGGGTCGACACAACCGTTCCTTGCCGGCGGAGTACGCGTCCTGTGGTTGTCGCTAAACAGGCCCCGAATGCTCGCAGGCCACAGTGCCGCCCCCTGATCGTCTCCGATGTCCCGGTACAATTTAATGTCACTGAAGTCAACCGGATATTTCATCAATAAAAACATAGATATTTATTTAGCGTTATATTCTGTTTTGCTCAATTTTTCCTCTTAAAGGATATGAATTCCTATTTAAAGAGTATGAAATGATGGAAGGGCTTGAATTGATCGGATCTATCATTAATTTCTTTGCTAAATGAACAATCAATTTGAT